CCATCATTGTAAGGGAAAATGTTTCTAAATGAGCCCTAAAGTAATGGGCATTATTTTCACTGACCACCAATGTAAGGAGCATTCTTCAGACTGAACATGAATGTAGGAGACATTCTACCACTGACTCACCATTGTAAGGGCCCTTTTTTCTCTGACCCCTAATGTAAGGAACATTTTTCTCGATCACTACCAATGTAAAAGGACATTCTTCCAACTGAATACCAATGTGAGAGACATTTTTTCCACTGATCTACAATGTAAGAGTACACTTCTCCGACTGTCCACCAATGTGGAGGCATTTTCTCACAGACTACCAAAGTAAGGGGCAGTTTTCTCACTGACTACCAATGCAATAGAGCATTATTTTTTCTGGCCACCTTAATAATGCAGACCTTCACCTATTGACCACCAATGTAGGAAGGCCCTTCTCCACTAAATGCTAATGTAAGAGGGCACTGCAATGTTTTACTGTCTGCATTTCTTTTCTGGGTATTAATATTATTTGTTTTTAAATTAATTCTGATTAATGCCATAAATAATTTTCGCGAGTAGAGCAGGCAATGGTAAAAAAAAAATCTGTTGTGGGTTATATACTCTAAGCTACATTCCCCTTTCTCTTCTTTATTATTACAATATAACCTAATTTAAATATGATTATACAGTATGCCTACAACTTACTGAACATGCTAATGCTAATCATTTTCAGGCTTTAGTCTTTAGTCTTCTTCTGTGGTGAAAGGGTTGCAAAAGGAATCTGTAAACCATAAAAAGGAAATATACAAAAAAATGAAATGTATTTATGTAATAGGTGGAGTTACAAAGGAGTGTCACCCATAGCATTTTCTCTACCTGTGACAGTATATTACATAATGAATGATATAGGCATAAGCAAAGTGATTTCAAAGTGAAATTATTGATTTATCTCGCAATCCTTAGTTTTACTCATTCAGTTGCCTAGGTGAAATTTGCTTGTAAAAAAATTCACTTTTTTTTTATTTAACAGGTGGTTTTTGGGAAAGATGTATTTATTACAGTTTAGTTTATCCTATTTAGTGTTCATTTTATTATTTTTGCCCTTTTTTATGTATTTAATTGCTATTTGTGTTTTTTTTTTTTATTATTTTACATTTATTTTGCTTTCTGCTTTTTTATTTCAGTGAAAAAAAAATTAAATATTGAGGCTCATAAGGGAACAATTTTTGCTGAAGGACGGGTCTGGAATACTTTAACTGAGCAATTTTAAGCCCAATGCACCCCAACCTAACCAAAATCACCCTAATCTCTCCTTCCCCATTGACTCCAATACATTTCACCAAAATAGCAACATTTTGCCAAAATTTCCTGAATCTGGCAACATTTTTAGCAAATGAGAACTTTCAGTTTCTTTCATTCCCAGTAAGGTAATATTTGTTAATGTCTACTATTAGCTACACCAGTACTTCATAGTCAAATTGTTTTTATCTGAACAAATCATGAGCTTGATAAACTAAAAAAAAGTTAAAATAGGAACAATTATCTCTAATGCGTTCTGCTTATTTACTTCTTTGGACAAGAAAACGTTATATTAAAAATTAATATGCTAAAATGTAATTAGGTTATTCCTAATTAAAATACTTTATTGAAATAACTAAATGTTATCATTATTAAAATGTAAGTAAAGGCAAAACTTTTTTTTTTTAACACATTAGTATTTGTTTCAGTTAAAAAGTATACAGAAAAAAAAATGATTGTCAAACAGATATTTTTTAGTGGATGGCAATTTTTAAAATCTAATCTTTCATAACTCTTATAACACAAAGTTGCTTTTACTTGTATACTAACAGATAAAAGCTGAAGTGGCATAGTACAATATACAGTATACATAAGTAAAAATAAGTTAAAAATAAAAGACAAAAGAGGTGGTCAGCCTAACCTGACCATCACACCTAGGTGACCTTGCTGGACATCCCTTTTCAAAACCATGAGCTTTAGTAGTCCACCCTTTGTGAATATATTATCCTCCATTCTTATGGAAAGTCTTTCCACAAAATGGAAGTATGGAGATATGGAAGTTTTTGGATTATGCCTATTGGAAATTGTGTCTTTTCAGGCAGAATAGCATTTGTGAGATCAGGGCTTGAAGATCTCCTTCTCAATCGGCATTCCAACTTATCCCAAAGGAGCTTATTGGGGTTGAGCTTAGGTCTTTGTACAGGTCAGTTGAGTTCTTCCACACCAAACTCATCAACCATGTCTTTATGGAACTGGATTTGTACACCGGGGCACAGTCGTGCTGGAACAGAAAAGTACATTGTCCAAACTGTTACTGTAAGGGTTGAAGCACACAGTTGTCTGAAATGTTCTTGAATGATGAACCGTAAAAAGGACCCTTCAGTGAGAACACCCAAACTAAATAATTGGGGGGGGGGGGGGTAATCAATATACTTTTGATCACATAGCATTGGTGTGATGGTCAGGTGTCCACAAACTTTGGACTATATATTCAATATAAATTCTGGAAAGCCTGTGTACAATCTAAATAAAAATGCCTCTAATGTAGTGTATGTAGCAAAGAAAAAATATAAAATGAGACTTTGTGTATACCTCCAAAAGTATAATACAAACAAAGAATGTATAAATATAAAATGTTGCTTTATTTAACAAACAAATCCATTAAAAAGAGTTAAAACCGCATAACCATTTTAATCATCCAGAATAGCCATATATATAGTCTTGTGATCGATTTGTAAATCTTCGACGCATTTCACAGGAAGACCTGCTTCATCATAACTTCCGATCTCAATAAAAGCTCCTGAAACAACAGGTCAAACAACAGAAAATGACCTTCTCCAAACTGTTACTGTAAGGGTGGAAGCATGCAGTTGTCTGAAATGTTCTTGTATGATGTACCATAACAGGACCCTTCACTGAGAACACCCAAACTCAATAATTGTGGGGGGGGGGGGATCCTTATACTTTTGATCACATAGCATTGGTGTGATGGTCAGGTGTCCACAAACTTTGGACTATATATTGAACATAAATTCTAGAAAGCCTGTGTACAATCTAAATAAAAATGCCTCTAATGTAGTGTGTGTAGCAAAGAAAAAATATAAAATGAGACTTTGTGTATACCACCAAAAGTATAATACAAACAAAGAATGTATAAATATAAAATGTTGCTTTATTTAACAAACAAATCTATTAAAAAGAGTTAAAACCGCATAGACATCTTAACCATCCAGAATAGCCATATATATAGTCTTGTGATCGATTTGTAAATCTTCGACGCATTTCACAGGAAGACCTGCTTCATCATAACCTCCGATCTCAATAAAAGCTCCTGAAACAACAAGGCAAACAACAGAAAATGACCTTCTCCAAACTGTTACTGTAAGGGTGGAAGCACGCAGTTGTCTGAAATGTTCTTGTATGATGTACCATAAAAAGGACCCTTCACTGAGAACACCCAAACTCAATAATTGGGCGGGGGGGATCCTTATACTTTTGATCACATAGCATTGGTGTGATGGTCAGGTGTCCACAAACTTGGACTATATATTGAATATAAATTCTGGAAAGCCTGTGTGCAGTTTAAATAAAAATTTGATACTAAGGCCTAATGTATACAGACATGTGAATTTATATGCTGAATTTTGTTCTGACAGAATCTGGCAGGAAATAATGCCTCTAATGTAGTGTATGCAGCAAAGAAAAAATACAAAATATTGAGACTTTGTCTATACCTCCAAAAGTATAATACAAACAAAGAATGTATAAATATAAAATGTTGCTTTATTTAACAAACAAATCCATTAAAAAGAGTTAAAACCGCATAACCATTTTAATCATCCAGAATAGCCGTATACATAGTCTTGAGATCGATTTGTAAATGTTCGACGCATTTCGCAGGAAGACCAGCTTCATCATAACCTCCAATCTCAATAAAAGCTACAGAAACAACATGTACACATAAATTGTAATTAGAACAAGTGATCATTTTGTAGTATGTTTTTAATAACTTTTACAATAATAATAATAATAATAATGACAATTTCACACTGAACAATATCCACTCTGGATCGTAAGGAAGGATGGGGGAGGGGAATCTGAATCTGAACTATACTTATACCAAAGAAGAGAAACAATCAGCTCATATTTGCACTTGTGGAGATGTGCAGTTGGTTATGCACATAGGGTGTTGAGACAAATGGATTCTACTGGCTAGAATATAAATTTATTCTGGCCACTGGAATACATTCACGCTCATATGCATGTGTTTACATACATTTACACGCACAAGCCCGGAAATTATTCTCCTAGGTTTTTCTCTGAATGCAGCTTTGTTGCATTTTTTTTTATACCTGTAAATGATGCTCTTAAAATACTAATCTAAACATCTGATGTGCATGACCACATTGACTGGCATAAAACCGGATTTAGAGGAATAAAACAAAAACACCATATTCCTCCAACAGAGGCATTTTTCCTGTGTGCAGGAGGCCTAAAATATAATATGAAAGTAAGTTGAAGCGTACAAGACATCAGAGCGTCATTAAAAAAAATTCTTTATCCAAATTACCGTATTTTTTGCTCCATAAGACGCACTTTTTTCCCCCCAAAAAAGGGGGGAAATGTCAGCGGCCGGTCCGAATATTGGGCCGGCCGCTTAGCTCTTCTCTCCTGCAGGACCTTACCTGTTCCTCCTCGCTCCGGCGCTGTACAGTCTTCCCGCGGCGGCTTCTGTGACAGCCAGGTGCCCACTGCGCTGGAGCGAGGAGCGCCGCGCTTTGTGAATGGTCCAGTGTCTTCTGGGACACAAGACAGGTCCCAGAAGGCTCCGGGTCATTCACAAAGCGCAGCGCTTCTCGCGCATGCGCAGTGGGCACCCGGCTGTCATAGAAGCCACCGTGGGAAGAAGGAAGGACAACTCCGTGGAAGTGGGAGCGGGTACCTGTCAAATTCAGGTACCTGCTCCCCCTCCCTCCCCAAAGGTCCGCAGTCTCTGGTAATCTCCTTTACTGTCTGCAGTCTCTGGTCATCCCCTGTACTGTCTGCAGTCTCTGGTCATCCCCTGTACTATGTCCGCAGTCTCTGGTCATCTCCTGTCCTATGTCCGCAGTCTCTGGTCATCTCCTGTCCTGTGTCCACAGTCTCTGGTCATCTCCTGTACTGTGTCCGCAGTCTCTGGTCATCTCCTGTACTGTGTCCGCAGTCTCTGGTCATCCCCTGTACTGTGTCCGCAGTCTCTGGTCATATCCTGTATTATGAGGAAGAACAACAAAAAGAAGCGCACCAACCTTGCGCATTACCTCAGTAACCAAAATTTATTAAATAAAAGAATGGTACTCACAAACAGCGAATAAAAACAGGCATGTAAGTCCTCAAAGGGACTTTAAAGGCAAGATGCAAATGCGAATCCCATCATGGAGGAAGCCACTCAGTGCAGCTGACGCGTTTCGAAGGACAAGCCTTCTTCCTCAGAGAAGGCTTCTATCATGGGGCCATTGCAGTACAGTGTATGGTCATTTTATATGGCTGAACGTGCTATACAACCCACACTGTGTCACACGGAGACCAACAACATAATGGATTTATGTTGTTGGTCTCCGTGTGACACAGTGTGGGTTGTATAGCACGTTCAGCCATATAAAATGACCATACACTGTACTGCAATGGCCCCATGATAGAAGCCTTCTCTGAGGAAGAAGGCTTGTCCTTCGAAACGCGTCAGATGCACTGAGTGGCTTCCTCCATGATGGGATTCGCATTTGCATCTTGCCTTTAAAGTCCCTTTGAGGACTTACATGCCTGTTTTTATTCGCTGTTTGTGAGTACCATTCTTTTATTTAATACATTTTGGTTACTGAGGTAATGCGCAAGGTTGGTGCGCTTCTTTTTGTTGTTCTTCCTCACAGTTTCGTTTGGGCTTCCCCAGCCTTGGTGTGGAGCTGCACGACCTTGTCTATTTCGGTGGTTCCTTTCCTTTTTTGGAGTTTGATTCCATCTACTCACCACCGGTCTGGGTCCTGGAGCGCAGGAGATATCGCATTTTGTTCAATATCCTGTATTATGTCTGTACTCTCTGGTCATCTCCTGTACTATGTCCGCAGTCTCTGGTCATCCCCTGTACTGTGTCCGCAGTCTCTGGTCATCCCCTGTACTGTGTCCGCAGTCTCTGGTCATCTCCTGTACTGTGTCTGCAGTCCATTGTTCAGAATATTTTTTTTCTTGTTTTTCTCCTCTAAAACCTAGATGCGTCTTATGGTCAGGTTCGTCTTATGGAGCGAAGAATACAGGTAGATATCCAGCACATGTTTGGGGTTTTTAATGTAGCACCCTACTTGATTGGTGCTAGGATTAGTTAGATTTAGTGCTGGCTCATTGTGTTCATTGGAGCTTTGTGTGTTTTTGGTTAGGTAAATTTAGCTTGCCTCACTATAACCAGTGTGGCTGTAATTAGTGTGCTTGGCAAATCGAGCTTTGCTCACTGTATCCAGTGCATCTGATCAAGTAAGGCTCCATTCTCACTTGTGCGACTTCAAAATCATGCAATTTTCATTGTGACTTCACAGTGCGAATTTGGATGAGTGCGACTTTGCTGCAACTTTGGCTTTGACCAAGTATGATTGTTTGTGCTGTAGAAAGTTGCATATACAGTAAGTCACACACAAGTTGCATGTACAACATTCAGGTGCGACTTTCATGCAACTTTGGATGGTTTACATTGAAGTCTATGGCCCTCAAGTTGCATGAAAGTCGGACCAGAGTAGTGCAGGAACTACTTTGAAGTCGCTGTAACTAAAAGTCATACAGATATGAATGGTACTCATTGGGAAACATGGAGTGTGACTTTGGACCCCAAAGCCACATGGCAAGTCACACAAGTGTGAATGGGCTCTAAGTCTGTTTAGTGTTCTCAGCTACTGCTAGTCTGATAGCTCCCTCTGCTTCCAAAGAGTGGTAGAATTCTCTGGAACATAGGTGTGGGAGCTATGCAAATGGCAGTATGAATGGCCAATCCCAGGGAGCAGGGCCCTTAAGACTTGTGGGTAACTGCATAAATACTCTGAGAGACTGGGCTTCTGGGTCTCGCTTTCTACTGAGGATCAGACCAGCCTGGAGGGCTACTGCTCTTCAGGGCAATGATGCCATGTGCTCACCTGGATACTGAAGCTACATGGAGCTGATTGAGGAGTTGTCTGCTGAAAATCTAGTCTGGTATCACAGGAAAAAGGTGATGCATGGATACAGACTGCTGTGAGAGATCTTAGCGACTTTTAGGCTGCTACCACCCCTCTTATGCTAGAGCAGTGGTCTCCAAACTGCGGCCCGTTGGCCGGATGTGGCCCTTTGCTGTCCTTTATCTGGCCCTCAGGGTACTTTTCCTCCCACTGACACTCCCACCAACAATAGGGCAAAACTACTGCTACTGACATCAACAATGAGGCACTATTTCTCCAACTGACACCAACTATGGGGCACTATTCCTCCCACTGACACCAATGATGAGGCATTATTCCTCCCATTGACACCAACGATGGGGCACTATTCTTCCCACTGATACCAATGATGGGGCACTATTCCTTCCATTGATACCAATGATGGGGCACTATTCCTTTCATTGATACCAATGATGAGGCACTATTTCCCCTAAATGACACCAACAATAGTATACTATTCCTCAAACTGACACCAATGATGGGGCACTATTCCCCCACTGACACTACTGGGCACCATTCCTCCTGCTGACCCCAGCAACTGGGCACTATTCCTCCCACTTACACCAATGAAGGGGCTCTATTCCTCCCCCTAATGCCAAAGATGTGTTGTTTACTCCCACTGGTGCTGGGACAATATCTACTCCCAATGGCCACAGTCCAGCCCCCCAAAAGTCCAATGAACAGTAAACTTGCCCTATGTTTAGAAAGTTTGGAGACCCTTGTGCTAAAGAATCAACTGAATGTTCTTTAAAGGGGACATTGGCTGGTGTCTCCCCGTACTATCTGTCAGTGGGAGGGGGGAGGGCGTCAGGCGTGGCTGCACCTATGGGAACATGTTACATGTTCCACCCTAAAAACGGGTGGAACATGTAACATGTTCGCAAAGATGAATTTACCCTTTAAATAAGAAGATGAACCTCAGGAATGGTCTTCGACAAGGCAACACTTATGTCATCATTGACATCCAATCTATTTTGACTTTTTGTTTGATAGGAAAAATTACTAAAACCCCTGACTCACGATGGTATGTAGTAGCAAAGGGAATCAGAACAATCGTAGCTCACTGTACCCAGTGAGGGTAGGCTTGTGGCAATGCACACTAGAATTCTCCAAAATGTATATATTTTTATCTGACCCTCATGGACCCTCTGAAACCTATCCATGGACCACTAAGGGTCCATGGACCCCAGGTTAAGAACCCCTGCATTAGAGCAACCCCCCCCATTTTTAACAAATCTTTATATGTTTATTTGCATTTTTGCAGCTGTCATGGGTCTTCTTCAGCTGCGATTATTGGATCCTGAATGCTGCATAACGAGGCATTTTGCATTTCTGGGTAGGTGGCGTGCGCAAGGCTCGCACACACCCTACTCATGCCGCCATTTCGCAGCCGCAGCTGTCAATCACTGGGTCCCACCCAGTGATTACTCGCCAGCGCCTGGTGATTTCTGAGGATCTCTGATGGGGAGAGAACTGTTAGTAAACAAAACAGCACAGCCATACAAAGCAGTGTGCTTACAGTAAAGCACAAACACAGAACATGATGAAAAATGGCACACAGCACATAGTTAACCCTTTGATCGCCCCACATGTTAACCCCTTTCTTCCCAGTATCATTAATACAGTGTCAGTGCTTTTTATTAGCAATGATCACTGTATTGATGTCACTGGGAATGTCAGTGACACCAAGTCAGTTCCCCCCAGTGTCAGAATGCCCACCGCAGTCCCACAGTCCCGCAATAAGTTGCTGATCGCCGCCATTACTAGTATAAAAAAAATTTAACTTCCAGTATATATATACCGCCATTTGCTGATCACCACCATTACTAGGTAAAAAAGAAAAAAAACAGTATATATATACCGCCATTTGCTGATCACCACCATTACTAGGTAAAAAAGAAAAAAAAACAGTATATACAGTCAGGTCCATAAATATTGGGACATCGACACAATTCTAACATTTTTGCCTCTATACACCACCACAATGGATTTGAAATGAAACGAACAAGATGTGCTTTAACTGCAGACTGTCAGCTTTAATTTGAGGGTGTTTACATCCAAATCAGGTGAACGGTGTAGGAATTACAACAGTTTGCATATGTACCTCCCACTTGTTAAGGGACCAAAAGTAATGGGACAGAATAATAATCATAAATCAAACTTTCACTTTTTAATACTTGGTTGCAAATCCTTTGCAGTCGATTACAGCCTGAAGTCTGGAACGCATAGACATCACCAGACGCTGGGTTTCATCCCTGGTGATGTCTATGCCAGGCCTCTACTGCAACTGTCTTCAGTTCCTGCTTGTTTTCGGGCATTTTCCCTTCAGTTTTGTCTTCAGCAAGTGAAATGCATGCTCAATCGGATTCAGGTCAGGTGATTGACTTGGCCATTGCATAACATTCCACTTCTTTCCCTTAAAAAACTCTTTGGTTGCTTTTGCAGTATGCTTTGGGTCATTGTCCATCTGCACTGTGAAGCGGCGTCCAATGAGTTGTGAAGCATTTGGCTGAATATGAGCAGATAATATTCCCGAAACACTTCAGAATTCATCCTGCTGCTTTTGTCAGCAGTCACATCATCAATAAATACAAGAGAACCAGTTCCATTAGCAGCCATACATGCCCACCCATGACACTACCACCACCATGCTTCACTGATGAGGTGGTATGCTTAGGATCATGAGCAGTTCCTTTCCTTCTCCATACTCTTCTCTTCCCATCACTCTGGTACAAGTTGATCTTGGTCTCATCTGTCCATAGGATGTTGTTCCAGAACTGTGAAGGCTTTTTTACATGTCGTTTGGCAAACTCTAATCTAGCCTTCCTGTTTTTGAGGCTCACCAATGGTTTTCCATCTTGTGGTGAACCCTCTGTATTCACTCTGGTGAAGTCTTCTCTTGATTGGTGACTTTGACACACATACACCTACCTCCTGGAGAGTGTTCTTGATCTGGCCAACTGTTGTGAAGGGTGTTTTCTTCACCAGGGAAAGAATTCTTCGGTCATCCACCACAGTTGTTTTCCGTGGTCTTCCGCGTCTTTTGGTGTTGCTGAGCTGAGCGTTCTTCATTTTAAGAATGTTCCAAACTGTTGTTTTGGCGACGCCTAATGTTTTTGCTATCTCTCTGATGGGTTTGTTTTGTTTTTTCAGCCTAATGATGGCTTGCTTCACTGATAGTGACAGCTCTTTGGAATCTCATCTTGAGAGTTGACAGCAACAGATTCCAAATGCAAATAGCACACTTGAAATGAACTCTGGACCTTTTATCTGCTCATTGTAATTGGGATAATGAGGGAATAACACACACCTGGCCATGGAACAGCTGAGAAGCCAATTGTCCCATTACTTTTGGTGCCTTAACAAGTGGGAGGCACATATGCAAACTGTTGTAATTCCTACACCGTTCACCTGATTTGGATGTAAATACCCTCAAATTAAAGCTGACAGTCTGCAGTTAAAGCCCATCTTGTTCCTTTCCTTTAAAATCCATTGTGGTGGTGTATAGAGCCAAAAATGTTAGAATTGTGTTGATGTCCCAATATTTATGGACCTGACTGTATATACCGCCATTTGTAGATGCTATAACTTTCACATAAACCAAACAATTTACACGTATTGGGATTTTTGTTTAGCAAAGACATGTAGCAGAATACATTTTGGCCTAAACTTTTGACGAAATTTGATTTTTAACATTTTTTACGGACATGTTTAATAGCAAAAAGTCAAAAATATTTTTTTTTCCTCAAAATTGTCAGACTTTTTTTTTTATAGCGCAAAAAAAAAAAAAAAATGCACAGGCGATCAAATACCACCGAAAGAAAGCTCAATTCGTGGGAAAAAAGGACGTAAATTTCATTTGGGTGCAGCCTTGCATGACTGCGTAATTGTCAGTTAAAGTAACGCAGCGACGTAACATAAAAAATGGCCTGGTCAGGAAGGGGGGGGGGGGGTGGTGTAAATCCTCTGAAGGGCAATTGGGCCAGGAAGG